GCTTGAAGGTATATAGAGGGAATGGAGGTATACCTCCATACATTCTTGAGTGTAAGTAGTGGAGGTCAATGATCAGCTTCACATTCTGGCTGCTTTACTCACAGGGAGATAGCTATTATTCCTTTTCACTCTACATAACTGTACTCTTCTCCTTCAGTACTGAAACCGAACGTCGTGGCCAAGTGGTTAACACTCCTGCTTCGTATTCGGGAAGTCCCGGTTCAGATATCGGCCCGGAGACCAACTATCCTGGCTGGGTTCCTTAGTTCTTGCAGCTCCTTAAATTAGGCCATGACCATGTCCTTCCACATACTTTCCAATTCACTGTCATCCTCTCATTTGATGCTATATAGTCTGAGCTACTGAAAACGTGTTGTTAAATGAACTATGAATAAAATATTCTGTTCTGAAGAGCATCTGCATTTTTCCTTTATGCCTATATAAACTATAAACACACGCAGTTTTGCCATATAAGCATTGCTTTGTAGCAGAGCACATTGAATTAAACTTTTGCATGCTTTGGATAAGACATGTCACTAAGAAACACAATCACTTATGCTTCAAGTATCTTCAGTGTTCAGAACATCTGTAAACATAAATTCCTCTTGACTCTGTAACTAGCTCCTTGTGGTTATCCAACATGGAAATAATTTTTTTCATGCACATATGCAATAGAATATGGTCAGTTCCTAAATTTTTGAACTTAATACTGAAAGGGTGAAAACTATAGGTTTTTTCTGAATATTTTATTCACATGTGTTTCTAGATTTACAAAAAATAAATTTATCTGGAAATCAGTCTTGATCTTTCCCAAAATGTATATGAACATGACCATGAAACCTTAAATTTTATGTACATCAAGTGAATCTTTGACATACTTTTCACATAAAATATCAGAGTACAAAACAAGACCACAAATTCATATACACTTATCACATTAAGGGGCCCCAAAGACAATGAATAATTATAAAAAAATACCCACAAAAAATCAGAATTAAAGAACATGCACAACTTATAGGTCATGTCAGTTATAAAATATGGTAGTGAGGCAGAGGGTGATAAAGACAGTAGAAGAATAGAAGCAGCAGAAATACGATTTTAAAACCATTATCTGGTCACATAAAATGCTGAAATACAACCAATTTAAACCTGTAAAACTCTCCTGTCCTATTTGTATTTTTCTGTGACACAGTCAGTCTCTACAAATGTATACTTCTGGTGAGCAACATGTATTACATTAAATAACTAAATATTTCCCATACAGATATCATATGAGGCTGTATTACATTCCCCAGGAAAATATATTGGTATTTATAATATAACTTATAAGTTGTTTTATATGAAAATAAGTACCTTTGCTTGGTAACTGGACTACTGGCCGTTTTGAACATGTTCCCAGATATTTACATGTGGTGTTTATTGCGATAAAGATTACCAGTGATGAACATCTGCTCAATACAGACTTCTAATCTTTCCAAGCACACTTATACCCCAGCTTTATAAAATGAAATGAAACAATGTATAACATTTTGTTTCTTCACAGCTTTATATTACATTGATATGTGCAATGTACAGATTTACCTTTAACATTTTATACTTGCCATTGTTCATTATATAATTTATCGAGAAAAAGATATGTTTTATGTGTAATTGCATAATTATGTATCCATCATGTGTTAATGTGGTCATTTTTCTAGCAGATATTTAAGTATGCAGATTGGTTACTGTATTCATATGAGTAGACGACAGTAAAATCATACAGCTCGTTCCTGCCATTTATTATCGCAGAGTATTCTACTTTGGAATATATTATGCAGGATTTTTAGTAGTGCATAAACACACACTTCATGTTTGCTTAATGAAACTGTGTTTAACACAGGACTGTAAATAGAGTGCATGCATTCATAATTATGTTAATCGAATTTCAACATATGTCTTATGCAATAGAAAAGCCCTAGAGAATGAATAATCTTATATAGTTATCTTTATAAGTGACAGGTTATAAATGGAAATGTATGTTGAAAAGCTCAGAGCATAATGGAAGTTGTTTATTAAAAACTCTCTATTTTCGTGGAGTATTCTTTTCCAACATTTCCCTTATTATCAGTAGAATGTGCAGGTTTACTTCAAGGGCTAGTATATAGAACAGTCCTAGTTCACAGTTCACAATGTTAGAGAGATAAAATGTAAAGAATTCTGATACATAGGTGTTTAGTATAGTTGTATTTGTAACTGATATGTACCCATCTTATTACTTCTAATATCTTTTTTTTTTAAAACTTGGTCTCACCTGTCACATGACTTCAGAACCCTGAAGAAATTCCTGTCTCAAACCTTTCATAATATATGACAGTGATACTAAGTAAACTTTAAGTGTTCCTTGTATTAGAATTTTTTTCAAGAGGTTAGTACGTAACTGCACTTATTAAAGGCAAGTATCACATGACACATTCAGACATTGCTGCTACAGTTAACCTCATCAGCACCATCAGAACAGTCTTTTTTGCCATCACACAACTGTTGAAGGGTAATGCATCTGCCATCCAGGCAC